GGGTGCCTGGCCAGTCTGGGTAAGGGGCTGAGGGCTGTTTTCAGGCTGGCTAAGCCCCCCAGCGGGGACCCTCACCCCATGAGGGTGTGGCCAGCCTGGGTGAGGGGCTGATGGCTGTTTGCAGGCTGGCCACAACCCCCAGCCACCCAAGCTCCCAGTGGAGGCTGGCTGAAAGCAGGTATCTGGGATTTATTTGTCTTCTATAATTGAAACTTTGTTGCCATGAGCAGAGGCCTCAGCCGGCTCAGGGATGGCAGGAAGCTTGGCTTCCTCCATCGCCTGGACAACCAAGCCTCTAGCTTGCTCCAGCTCCGTGGTTGCCGGCCACCATCTTGGTTGGGTTAATTTGCATATAGTCGCTCTGATTGGCTGGTAGGCGGGGCTTAGGGCATAGCGAAGGTACGGTCAATTAGCATCTTTGTCTTTTATTAGTGTAGATTGAGTCCTGGTCTAGGGGCTTAAATTAACTGATGACTCACAACAAACCCACAGGCCTGGTACTATTATTATCCCCATTATACAGATGAGGAAACTGAGGCAGACAGAAGTTAGAGACCTTGCTCAGGAATACCTAGCCAGAGTTCAAGTTCACATTGCCCATGCCATCCTGCCTCAGTAGAACAAAATAGGCCAGATTTTTAAAATGGGCAATGGACACTCTTTCCATGGCTGGAAGGAAATCAGCCAGCACTCGTACAACTGCAGCTAGAACACACCTGCCTGCTCTTGGCCCCATCCACACACTCCCCAACCCACTTGTTCAAAGCAGTCAGAACTAATGGCCCTAAGTCAAAGATCTGATCTAGTCACCTCACCTGACCATTTCCCTGCTTGAACATCCCTCATCCCTATGAGTCCCTTTCCCCTCTAAATGCTCTTCAAACTTTTATTTTTACTGTTACCCACAGTAAGAAATACATTTTACATGGCAACCCAATATGTATATACATAGAACTGAAACAAAAGTCTCCCTAAATGGCACCTGTCTTCTTTAAGCAATGTATCTTTGCTGGATGTCTCCCATTTCCCCTGCCAGATCCACCTGCCCTGCTCCAAGTTCAAAGACTGGCTCAGCTACTTAGTAGCTCTGCGGTGTTAAGCAAGTTATTTAACCTTGCTAAGCCTCTATTTTCTTCCCTGGTAAGTGGGGATGATGATAATAGCCCCTAGCTCATTAGGACTGGATGAGATGGTACATATTAAGTTCTGAGAGTATGCCTGGTTTACAGCAGTATTCCCAGAACTGTTAGCCAGCATTATGATTATTTTGAGTAGAAATAACAATAAATGTTCATTAATTTTCATTAAGGTATTTTAGTGCCTGGCTGTGACTGAGTGAGGAGATCTCAGACATAGGAAGTGTGTCTACAGTCTGGTAGTCACATGATTAAAATGACTGTTTTAGGAAAAAACACCATCAACATGTTGATTGAGGCATTTTTTTTAAACAAATTCAAAATGATTGCCCTACAGATCCCAGTTGTCCCAAACTGCACACTACAAGACAGCTTTTCACCCGAAGAGCGGCTGCCTCTCTGGTGCTGCGTTCCTGAGTGAGTCAGAAACCTTAGCCCGTGACAGTCCTAACAGATGTACCTAAAGACGTGTTTCAGGTTACTGGGGAGTGAGGCAGCCAGGCTCCTATGTGAGATTGTGCTTTTGCATAAGCACAAGCAACGGCTTTTTATTCTCCTGAACTCAGGATTATTCCCAAAAGGCAGACACCCAGGTTAACAGCCAAGTCCTAAAAGGTGCCAAGGCAGTCTATTAGGGAAGGAAAAAATCCCTGGTTATAAGTCACTTGGAAGGCAATTTAATTATAAAATGTGTGAAGCTGAATTTTAAATGTAAAGGTTCATATGGGCTGTTTCCTAGGACCCTTTGAAAAGTGTTAACTAGTTATCATTATATGAAATTTCCAAATGTACCAAGCCCAGGGCTATATGTTATTTCCTAGGCTCCCCAATAATTCCCAGTTACAAGGAGCTGGTATTCACTATTTAGACATTCCAATGCAGGCACCAAGTTCAAGGCAAAGGCCTTGAATGCAGATGTTTACCTATTTTCTGATCACCAAAAATGCTTCTAAGTTTGGACTAGGTTTGTGTCTTTAAATAGTATTTAAACAGCCACCTCTTACCACTTACCTTCTCCCTCCTACAGTCCAACAAAGTGAACCTCCTTCCTATCTATATAACTGCCACACACACACAAACACAATTCCATTTTGAAAAAATAATTACTGCTGATAGAAACTGCCTGGCACAAGATGTGTTGGTACAGGCAATTAGGCACGAAGTGTCCTGAAGAACTCCATCCCAACTGAGAACTGCTTCCCCCAGTTACAATGGTGAAGATGGAATTACAGCCTTTACTGCCATTCACCCTCTCTCCACCTGTCACCCTGAGAGATCCAGGAAAAAGGCCAGGAAAAGTTAGCAGATGTTACCAGAGGCCACCTTTTCATAAACTCACATTCAAGTCTTCATTCTGTAAATAAGCTAGGGACAGGCCAGCATGGGGCAAGGGAGAATATGTACCAAAAATGAATGGATATTGGTCTCCCCCCTCAACCTGGTCACATAGCAGTGAGGGACACAACTGATATACCAGCAATTGCAGACAGTGCTATAACTGTTATGTCAGTGGGTGGGCTGGTCACAGTGGTGTGCTGGTCAAAGTTTAACAACCAGTTCTCCAGGGGAAAAGAAGCCCTAATTGGTAGCTCTTGCCAATTTCCATGGTGCAAATATTCCCACTGTGACCAATTTCAAGCTACCAACATGACATCACAGAACAGAGAATTGGGGAAAGATGCACAATAGCATACCATTACACAGTACTTCCCCCATACGGTTACAATAGATGTAATAACCTCAAGAGTATAGATCATAGTAAAAGGTAATAACATAATTTGGAAATAATGAATTTTGAGTAGTTATTAACCGCTTTAAATATCATTTCTCTGATTGCAAGTTGATGTAACTTGACTTTTATTTGTTCCTGTGTTTAACAACCAGCTTGCAAAAGTCCTGCAACTTTTAATAACTGGCTATTATGAGTTGCTGCAATCCATTCCCAGTGCACCGCTAGATGGACCTCACCTGGACAGAGGGCTGACCAGGGCACCAGGGATAGAGTGAAGGTTCAACAGCCAAGTGAGAGCTGAGGGCTTACCTGAAGCCATCTGGAGTGCAAAAGTTAGAGGTACGGGCCAAGCCAGTATTTGCAAGAGCTGAAAGCCACGTCCATAGGAGATAAAGTACTAACACCAGACCACAAAGAAAGTGCAGGGCAGAGTTCATTTGGGACTCTCCATGCAAGGGAGGTTTTTGGAATGTGCTTCAGATACCTGAGTGATCATACTGGCTCACATTTATCGATAAATAACCTTGTTAATCATTCATGAACATTTAGTTATCATTATGGGGCACTTAACATAGACAAGGTACTGTTTTAAATGCTTTACATGCTTTACTCCACTTCTGATGGCCCCAGTTTACAGATGGGACAGACAATCTAACTCCAGAGCCTATGGTTGCCCTTGCTCTGCAACACAGGTGCATGTGTCCAGCTGGTTTAAAATGCCATACAGAAAGCGAACAGTGCGTAAAAAAACACTCCAAGTGGAATAACTACAAGTTCCCCAGACTGTGTTCAAACAGTTGGTCCAAAATATTACTATGTGTTCAGAGATATCACCACACATTTCGTATGGGCGAGGGAGAGGATTGTTAGAGATAAGCAATGGGTGAGCTTCCCTTTCGGTGAATCAGATGCACTGTGAGAACACGGATGGAAAATGCAAATGTGGCCCCTGCCATCAGAAATCTCCTTCACTCTCACGCCCAAGCCCTTAGATCTGACACTACAAGCCTGCTTCCTGAATCTCCTCTCTCCAAGCACAAAGGTTTGGGGTCCTTCTGTTCCAAGGCCAGTGCCTGCAAGTCAGTCCAAGGCACGCCCAACCCCAGTGCCAGGCCCAGCCTACAGCCCAGCCTGGGCAGAGGCCTGGGTCCCTGCTTGCCTCACAGGGGAGATTCTAACCTGTGAGCTCCTTGAGGTTTCACAGACATTTTTTCAGAGGCCTAACCTGGCCCAATAAATAAATATGTGTTGAACATTGAGGCTGCCAGCGCAGAGGGAAGGCATGCTCACAGTTTCATCTTTATTAGGCCTTCTCATTTTATGATTCAGTGCATGGGACACAGGCCAACTGCCCCTCTGCCCTTAGGAAGTGGCCTTCTGACTCAGAATGACACATTACTGCACATTCCCAACAGGGAACCACAAATGCCTCACCAACGTTTCAGGCTGGCTGGACGCCTTCGGCTGAGTCTCAAGTAGTGTTTTCTTTGCAGTCGTGTCTTTGAGGAGCCAGCCCGTGAGGAAGAGCTTTCAGAAATGGGCATGATTCCGCGCATGGTGCTTCGGGGAAGTGGGTGATTGGGTCTCACCCACCGACCTGGGAAAGTTTCCATGAATTCATTTTCCTTTCACCCTCAGTGATGCTCCGTGTGCTTATTCAGACAAGGAGAGAGGTCTGTTTTCAATTAGGGCTACTAAAAAAAAGTGTTTTTAAAGAGCCTGTAAAAATAATCCAATAAAGGCCTCAGAGGTGTGAGCTGTTGTCATCATCCTGTTTGGAAAACGCCACTCAGAATGCGCCCGAAAGGGAGACAGGGAGGTGGGGACACCTTCAAAAATTTAATTTGTGAAATGAACCTGCGGGATTAGTCGCCCCCTTTGCGCCAGCTTTCATGTGTCCTCGCCCAGGGAAATCCGAGGCTTTGGATGACTGGCCCGGTTGGATCAGGTTACACTGTTTGGCTCTGCAGACATCACACTTTTCATTTTGCCTTTAATCCTAAAGGTCACCGGGAAGGTCAGCACCAAACACAAATGATACTTTGTGGTCTTACTTTCAGACAATTATCAACTCATAAATCTTGGTTAGACTGTAATGAGAGTGCGAGAAATAATTGAATTCCGTCCAGACGAACAGTGTCGGAGGGAGGGAAGACCTGAGGGGGAGGCAAAAGACGGAGGGAGGAGGTTCGGGGCCCAGCAGCCAGAAAATCTTTGTGGACTCCTGTTTGTCCTTGTCAAATCACTTCATTGAGAGGTTTGGATGGATCGGGGTGAGGCCGTTAAAGATGGTGCCGGTCCGAGGGAGCTTGGACAATAGAGGATAACGTCTAAGTGAGGAGTCAGATCTAAAGGCAGCCAGCAGGAAAGAGACAGACTAGAACAGGAGCCAGGAACTGAGGTGCTGAGAGTGCCAGTTCAACCAGTCACCATGCTGTGCGGTCCTGGGAAGACCACTTACCCTCTCAGTGTTGGAAATGGGGAGGCCAGCCCTTCCTACATCAGGAGATTGTCATTAACGATCACATCAGATAATACACTGAAATCGGTGCTTTTTAATCCCCAAAGGAGACAGCATTGCTAAGCATGTTAATTCATCCATGATAATTTGTAGACAATCCTGCTGGCTCTTATTCCTAAATGTCTAAAACGTGTCTGCTTCATACCAGCTCCAGTCCAGCATCGTCTTGCACCTGGATTATTAGAATAGCCCCCCAATCATCTTTCTTTACATTACTGCCCCTCCTCTATAATCCATTTTCTATCCAGCATCTAGTCATGATCATCTAAATATGTCATGTTACTCTTCTGATCAAAACCCTCCAAGGATCCCCCATCTTACATGAGTAATAGCCAAAGTCTCAGGATTCTCTACCAAACATTGCACTACCTGGCATCCATTTCTTCCCTGACCTCATCTCCCACCTCTCTCGGTCTTATTCACCCTCCTCCAACCACATCAGTCTTCTGGCTGCTCCTCAAACCTGTGGGGCACACCCGCACTCCAGAATCTTGCTCTGACCCTCCCTTGGTCTAGAACAGCAGTCGCCAACCTCATGGACCACCAGTGGTCCGTGGACCACTGGTTGGTGACCGCTAGTCTAGAACACCCTTCGTTCACATCTGTGCTTGCTTACTTGGCCATCTTCTTCTCCTCTTTACTAGGCTTCACTTTTCCTGTTTTATTTAAAATTGCACTGTGTCCACCTGACTTATTTATTATATTTGTTATCTCTCTCCCCAACTACAATGTATGCTGTGTGGGGACAAGAGTTTTTGTGTTTTCTGTATTGTACCCTAGTTCCTAGAAGAGGACTGACATGGAGTAAGCACTCTAAATTTGCCAAACTAAGATGAAAGCCTGGTTCCCGTCTGACTAGAGCTCTCATTTATGAGACTATTTAGATACTGAATGGACTAATAATAACACTTCCCGAACTTCCAACCACACTTCTGGAATCTCTTGCATCCAGGTTGGATGAAGTGCCTTCAGCCTTGTCGGTCTATGTCAGTGGTTGGCAAACTCATTAGTGTCGCATGTGGCTCGCAAACCGCAGTTTGCTGACCACGGGTCTATGTCATCTGGTGCCCACCAATGTGCACTCCAGGGCAGCAATACCATATTTTGTCTCAGTTTTGTTGGCTCTTCCCAATTTGGTCAAAGCTTGGTCACATCTGGTTCTGACAAGGGACACATGGGCCACCTGTCCATGCTACAAGGCCAGTGTGTCTTGGGGCTGGAGAGGAACTTTGTACAACTGCACCTCCATAACCAGCCTGGCTTGTACCCACAAGACTCTGCTGCAAATACAGACTAAGCTGGCAATACCAATAACACAGAGGGGAGAGATCAAATCTGGCTTGAAAGAACAAGCAGTTTTGTTTTCAATAGCAACCATTGCAAGTTAACACGTATCTCACCTAGTCACAGCACATTATAGTGTTTTCCTATATACAGTTTCATGTCATCCTTATCCCAATAGGGTGAGTATCATTGTTACCTTTATGCTATTAACAAGGAAGCAGATTATATAGTGAGTCCTTGGCAAAACCATGTCTTATACTTTCTTTCAGTTGTAAGTGAATTTAGTTTAGCTGGTATATTCCCTGCCTCATGCTCTGCACTTCAAATTCTGCTGCAATGATATCTATCTGCCCCTCAATTAGAGTGAAGTCTAGTTGAGTGCAATGACCATGTCAGATCTCCAAGGATCTGGCAAGGTTCTTGACACAAGGTAGTTTTGCAATAGTAGGAGTAAACAGAAGCCTTATGAAGCGAAAAGCCTAAAGGATGCCAAGGCAGAGTAATTTCAGTAAAGGTAACCTACTTTGGATAAGGTAAGCAGAGAATACACCAGTAAAGAGTTCACATTTAAGCTAAGACCTCATAGATCCCTATTTGCTCCCTGGTGGATGACTGTGGCCGGACAGAAGTAATAGCTACATGAAACCTTACCATGTGCAGGAGCAGAGATCGTGTGCATCCTAAGAGCAAGACTTCTGAAGAAGAAAATGGGCAGGAGGATGGGAATGGAGTCACACATGTTCAGTTTTTTCTTTCATTCAAGGAAAATTCATTGATTACCTACCATGTGCCTACTATATGCCTACTATGTGCATAGACCTACTATGCTCCAGGCCTGAGGGTTACGAACAAAACTCTCAGAGCATGTATTCTAATAGACTGGACAGACATAGACACTTTTAAATGTAATATTTTAGATAGGGACAAGTGCTACAACTGTAAACTAAATAGGATAAGAAGGGAATGGAGAATGATAGGAGTGGGGGTAGGGAGAAAAGTTGACAATTAAATAGGGTCAGGGAAAGCCACACTGAGGCCTGAATGAAGAGGAGAAAGTATGGCATTCACATTTTTTTTATCCTCCTTCCTAAAGAGTGACCTTCCTGATTGGAAAGACCAAAAGAAGGAAGTGGGATGCAGGTCTCACTCAGCTCCCTTCTCTCCACCACACTTAGCACATTCCCCTTCAAATCCTAGGCCTCTGCTGGATTCCTATCTAAGAAATGACACCATTACCCACCCACTTTTCAGGCCCCACACCTAATAGTGTCCTCAATTCCTCTTTCTCCTTTATCACCTATTTCAAGTCATATACAAGTTTGAGACCCCTTTCTACAAAAATCATCCCACTCTCACCTAAGTCTGTGGTCTCTCACGCCATCATCTCTCACCAGGACCACTGCCGTTGTATCCTCTCTCCTGGCTTTTAATCTTGTCTCCTGCAACCCATTCACTACACAGCAGCCACGATGATATTTTAAAAACATATGTCTCTCTTCCTCTCCCTCTATCTCAAATCAATAAAAATAAAGTAACAATTCTTAAATGTTCTTTTCCATTAAAGCCATTTTAAACATCCAAGAAGGCAAACATACTTTTTCCTCTTGTTACCACTGAATTTTAAAGATTTTTCTCTTATCTATTTGACTGAGCAATGAGGTCTTTTTAATGGTATCCAAGATGGGAAGATTTTAGAATAAAAATATGACCTTCTAAAATTAATACCTTACAGACAATAACTAGTATTGGTGAAGAGGTGCAGAAATTAGAGCCGTCATACATTGCTGATAGGAATTTAAAATGGTGCAGCTGCTTTGGAAAACAGTTGATATTTCCTAAAAAACATAAGTTAGCATATGACCCAACCTTGTTAATATACTAAAAACCACTGTATTAAACACTTTTATGATATGTGAATTATATCTCAAAAAATGAATAGGTTGGAGTTGTTAGCTATGTCCCTGTTTGCAAAGTGTTCTTTATATCATTGCCAAGAATACAAAGGATGCGGGGCTATTTAACAAGATGATATATGTAAAGCACCTGACACATGGAAGATGCTCAATAAATGTGTATTGATTCTGTTATTCCAGATGAGGAAAAGGTCATAGATTCCAGAGTTACATGGGCCAGTAGGCGCCACACCACTCCAGGGACTTGGTCCATATCATACAGTGGGGAGAACTGAGAACAGGGGTTGAGGAAACAGTCTGACTTGGTCTTTTCCACTAACGTAGTCTGTGACCTTGAGAGATTTACCTCGTCGTCGCCCTGTGTCTATTAAAAGAAAAGACCAAAACACTCTTCTCCTACCTCCCAGGATTCTGGGAATCAAGTATCTGAGTGACTTGGAAAAGTTGATGCAGGGGCTTATTAACCACAAATTAAAGACCTCCTTGATGGCAAAGGGACCTCACAGAATGACGGCTAACATTTTGTAGAGGGCTTACTCCGTGCCCAGCACTGTTCTAAGTATTAAGTGCTTTCCCCCTGGATTAATGAACTCACCTAATCCCTACAACATTCTTTTGAAGCCTGTGATATTATTATGTCTGCTTTTAAAATGAGGAACCGAGTAGAATGAAATTAAGTAACGTTCTAAGATCACACAAGTAAGAGGCCAAACTTGGACTCAGACCTAAGTGCCTTGGCTCCACCTCTGGGGGTGTTGTGGATCCCCTTTTACAGACAATGAAACTCCTGAGACTACACACATAGGCAGGGAGACAACGGACATGCTTCAGGAGCCCACCCTGTGCCAAGCCCTTCCTCAGGCTTCCCAAATGCTCTCCTACTGCTCAGGGCAATCCCATGTTACCACTGGGAAAACGCAAAGCACATAATCGACAGAATTACCTAAAGTCACCAACTTAGTAAGTCACACAGCCA